TTTTTTTTTCTTCTCCTCTCTGTCTCTCTCTGTAGCCACTTTAATATTCAGGTTAGTCTTCAGTGCCATTCTCTTTATCTTGGTATCATATTATATATTCTGTCACTTTCCGCTTTTGTTTTCTCCCTTTTGTGTTTGCATCCCTTCTTCCTGTCTATCTTTCCTTTCCTTCCTTCCTTCCTCGTTTCACTGCTCTCCCCACTGAATGTTCAGCTGTTGTTAGTCTATATTTGTTCTTCCTTTCAGCCTTCTGCCTTTACTTCCACCCTGTGCTTCAGACTTTTTCCTTCTGGCTCTATGCAAACGCAGTGGGTCACAACCGTGTTCTCTCGTAGACTGATAGGTGGTGAGGATCCCAGTTAGCTTCATGTCCCTGCCAGCTGGAACAAAAAGGAGGGACGATGAGGTTAACACACTTCAAAGCACAAACACTCTCTATCAGTACTTCAGAGATCATGGTTTGGATCAGTTTGAATGTTATTGTTATCATCCAGTGTGTCAAAACAGTTTCTAGCATCAGGGATTTTTGATTTTTTTTTTTAAGTGTGGATTTTTTTATTTTTTTTTTTGATGTCAAATCCACTAGCACAGGTCCTGGCCTTTCAGAGAACAGAGGGATTGTACATGGCTAAATACGCCCAGCTTCATTGCTGTAGCACAATTCCTTTTTAATATCTTTTTCCCTTTCAAAACAGTGGACATTAGATGGCTGCTGTTTTACAATTACACAATATTTCTACAATAATACTTGTTCCTGATGTGTGGGAGTGCAGTGCTGCGGTTTGAGAAGGCTTTAACCAATACAAAACAAACCAAAGGGACAGGTGACTTCCCCGGTGCAGCTTGCCAGCACAGGACGTAACGCCGCAGTCCTTAGTGGAATAAAATGTCAGCCAAAGCAAGAAGATTTTTGCAGCATGGCGAACTAGCTATCAGCTCCCAGCTAATCCCAGATGCAGGCATTATGGTACACATTACATTAGGCATGTTTGATTTGTCCCAGCCTGGATACAACCTGTGTATCAGCTGTGCAGTCCTGTGGTAAGTATGTCCTGCTGACGGGACTGCCACTAGCCGTGTCATGTACAAATATTCCCACTGTCTAGTGATCACACTGTCTGTCTCTTTCAAAAGTTTGGAAGTGCCATGGGAATGTCCAGTAAATGTGCAAATATATGGGGTTTTTTGTTTCGAATTATTACAGTTGTCATGCCAATAGTGTCTGCTCTACTGGTTATGGGCAATGCATTGGGCCATTTTCTGACACCTAACAGTCACCTCCCAGCTGCATTACCTGATTGCTGTTAGTTGCATCTCAGATCAAAGTTGCATGGGCTCCTGAGTTTCGGCTTTCAGGCTTGAGCACCGAGCTGTGTTGTTGCTCATGAACGTATGTTATACCTCCATTTCACTGTGCTTGGAGCAACCACATTTGCTAATGAGTAGGGCTTTTAAAGCTCTAAATAAAATCGGTTGGAAACTGTTGGGCGGGAGCATGCTGCTAGAACTTTATGTTGATTTATTTTGAAGAAACAGTTGCATTTTCTGAATGGAGGAAGAAGTGTGGTTTGCAGGGCTTTGGGGAGTGCGTTTTGTAAGGCATGCATTTTTGAAACGGTTTCCTGATCCCCAATCTAGAATAAAATGTGGTCACCCACCAAACTTTTAAAGTTTCAAGATTATGACATTAGCAAGTGGGACAAAGTTGTGGCTATAGATCCAAAGAAGTTGCACGTTATTAATCTAATTAAGTATTTCTTTAGAATTTTCCTGATTTTCAGTCTGACATGCATATAGATTATTTGCGTTAGGACAATACACAGTCTCCCAGTGTGAAATCGGAGTTTGACCAGCTGCTTTCTCCACTGCACTTTGACTCATGCAGTCGCCAATTGTGATCTTGGGGCTAGAGAACCATTGGAAAAAACTTGTGTAGAGCCATTCAAAAATGCTAACCTGGCTCTCAAAATTAGACAAACAGCAAAAGCACAGATCTTTCTCTATTATTTTTATTTTTTAACTAGAAAAAGAAATCACAGGTAATTTTTCCACTCACTTGCCATTTATCCTCAGTAATGTATTTTATGAGGGAGAGAAAAACTGGTTTAAAAAAGAGAGGAGGGGGAATGATGCTTCCAAACTTTGGAACAGTTGTGATTTTTCTGTTTTCCTAAGCCTGCCTTCCTGTAGCCTGTCCACCACCTGATCTATTTGTTATCTACCTCGTAACTCCCATTTTAGATGGGACTTCCCCATTTTGGCCCATTGGTTTCCTCCTACCACCTTCTAAGTTGTCCCACATTCTGTTTTAACTTTCTTTTCTTTCTTTATTTACGTCCATTACAGCCAGATCTCTATGGCTCACAGATGTGCACAGGGAAGCTCCCAGAGGTGCGTCACAGGCCCAAAAGAATCTTGCATCAAAATGCTTCTTTGAGATGTCATAGCACTGCAGCAGCAGGTTGATGTGTGTGCAGTAGATTTGTTGCTTGGCTTATCCCACTTTTTTTTCATTAATCCTAAACTTTGGAGGCCCATGTCACACATTGTTTTGTGGAGAACCTCTTAGGAAGAAGCTATATTAAAATGTTTATCTAGATTGGGGTGGCAGCAAGGCTAAGTTTAAATGTACTTCAGGTGTAGTTTTTCATTCAGTAAGCCCTACAATTCGCTGGTAGATGTTGGCTGTGCAGTAAATGGGGAAAATTACAGGCTTTCAAATTTAGGAAATTATACTGGATATTTAAAGCAAATTTTCATCAATATAATTTCAATGCAGAGCTGCGGCTTTCAGCGATTGGATCGATTTTCAAATGCCACCCTCGCTCATAAGACGTCCGAGAATTCATACAAGGCTTTGGCACTCTGTATATTTACAGTAGAGAACCTACAGAGCTACAGGAGCTCGAAAAAGAGATATCCTTAGCTGCAGTGGTACAACTCAGTCTTATGATTTTGAGAATTTAAATGCAGATTCCTAACCCCACAGCGTTCCCTGGTATGCTGAAAATTAATTGTCTCAGGGTGGGGTTTACCTTTTAATCAGACAGCAGTGATCATTTCAGCAAAATGTGTTTGTGTTACTAAGCATTAAAAATCCAGTGTAAAGCTCCTAAAATACACTGTGTTGTCCACAAATATAGAATAGTCTTGTTACGTCTGCACTGAATCACCAGGAAAACAAGCTAAGCCTTAAATCATTATTCCATGGAAGAGCAGAGTTGATTTAAAGATGAGTTTCATGCACTTTTTTTCCTATCACAGTCATAACTTTCTTTTCTTTTTAAAGTTGGATCCTGGTTTTAGCTCTATATTTTGATAGAGAAGAGAATGATTGCATCTAATGTATAAGCTACTAATTTTAATTGTAAGGTGTCAATCAAAATTTCTGAAAGTAATCTTACAGGTAGCATGGGATCTTGGTAAAGATCTGTGAGGCTGCAGCTGTTAAATATTCTAAATCCACATTCTTTCCACTTGACATCCACAGGGCATTCCAGAGCAATGGGCCAGGCTACTACAGACCTCCAACATAACAAAACTGGAGCAGAAGAAGAACCCACAAGCCGTTCTAGATGTTCTCAAATTTTATGATTCCAAAGAAACAGTTAACAACCAGAAATACATGAGCTTTACGTCAGGAGGTAAGTTGACATCTCACTGCAAAAAAGGGAGTGTCAGGCTCCAAAATGAGTCAGACCAAAGTTCAACATTCAAGTGGTCAAGAAGCAACCTTAAAAAATTCCGCTTTGTGGAATGCTTCTGAAATGAATTATATTTCTCCTTTTGTTCCCTAAATGTCATTGAAAATGTGACTATGAGGATTTTTTGTGATGCCTTGTGGTAGAGGAGAATTTTCAAGGATGTTTTTTGCATTAGCTGTAGAGAAGATTAGGTTGCTATGCATAAATTCACAAACAAACCTAGAACGGCTGCTATTGTGATGTAAAAGGAACGTTGCCAGGATGCAAAGAGGATGAGAGGGAAGGCATCAGTGTCCATAGCAATCTCTGGAGCATCAGTGTCCAGAGCAATCTCTCTGGAGCATACGCATTCCAGGAAGATCCTCGCGATTTAGACGTTACTATCCAAAAGCCTGCGAATGTGATGGGGGTGTCGTTTTTTTCACTTGGTTGTGTACAGTCTGCAAAACTGTAGTGTAGCATTGCAAAAATGAGAGAGCAACTCTAAGTTGCGCTTTGCATTTTTTTTTCTTTGGTCTCTTGTTTTCTTTTTTTTTTTTTGTTGGACAAACTCTCACAGGTGACACATCTAGCAGTAAAGCAGCATTTTTTACAAGGAGTGGCACATCTGACTTTTGTATTGATATGTTCTTGCTATTCCTTAATAGCTGAGTTGATTTTTAAACAAAAATACCATTAAGATATTCCGGAGCTCCCCCAGAAACATGCAGCTGTTCAGGTCTCTG